GTAGGTGACTGCATACTTTCTCTCCCCTCGTAGGTGTTTAACTACCTGAATGTAGAATTTAGCAATGCCCACAGAGACAGTTTTTTTTTTTTTTTAAAGATGACCAGTAAGGGGATCTTTACCCTTGGCTTGGTGTTGTCGGCACCACACTCAGCCAGTGAGCGAAATGGCCATCCCTATATAGGATCCAAACCCATGGCCTTGGTGTTATCAGCACTGCACTCTCCTGAGTGAACCACGGGCCAGCCCAGAGACAGCATTTGAGCCACACTGTGTGAACAAGAATGCACATTTCTACCTGTGACTCTTTGGTGTTACAGAGCATAATTAGGCCTAGTCTGGACCTCAGGGACTTCTAGTCTGGTGGGGAGGAAAAGACAGATGTGCAGGAGATGGCCTTCCAGTCCCTCTTTTTTACTTTGTAAATGTCCACGATTCACATACGGTGGGAATGTTGACTTTTACTCTGTGCCAAGCCCAGTGCCATACTCTGGAATCTCCCTGACACTGAGAAGTAGGCCTATTACCCCATCTTGTAGATGAAAAACTGAGGCTCAGGAGGCTGAATGCCACAGCTGGGATCTGAGGTCAGGTCCATGAATTCAGGACCTGTGCTCTTTGGCTACCATCAATTCCTGTTCTAATGCCCTGTATTCTTTTCTTCACCCAATGCCGGGTATACCTGCTGTGATCAGATGTGCTCTGCCTCCACAGATCAGCCAAGGGTCCCTCCAAAGGCAGCAGCAAGAGCCCAGCAGAGTCCTATGGGCACACCCACTTGGCAGCATCACAAGGTACTCCTAACTGCTCTTGGAAGAGGTCACCATGAAGACTCTGGGGGTTTGATGCCTGAGAGGACAGTTTTGACGGATGAATAGGAGTTTAACCATGGCCAAGGCAGGGATGGCATTTAGCCAGTGGGAAAAGCAAGTGTGTAAACATCCTTATCACAGTACTGGATGCTCTTGTGATCTGCAGCTGTCCTGGAGTGAAGGAAGCAGTTGGCAGAGGGTGGAGTTAAGCTGTGAGGC